TATGTGGTGTATATTGATAAGATGGAATATATAAGTAAGTGGCAGAAGTGAGAGCATATTCAAGAACGCGTTTCTTAATAAATTAACATTATCAATACAAGAATCCTATAAGATGACTAGTAAGCATTTCGGTAGTTTAAAAGGATTCTGTCTGCTTCGGGATGACAACAGATTAACCGACTAGGTAGTTTAACCTCTATGGACATATGAGCACTACCTACTGAACCACACATGCTGGTGGAGAAGAGAAAAGCTAGAACTGCCGAAGCTAGAACCACATTTAGAGAACAGTTTGATTCCGGAACGGCTGGGAGAAGGAAAAAGCAATACATATCCAGTAATATTAGGCAAAGTCGATTGAAACTGTGTTCTTTTTTAAGAAGGTATATTATGATAGTTCATTTTGACCTAGATAAGATAACTTCTAAGGTTGCTATCCAAATAGTAGAAGTCATGAGGTATTGTGATGAGAATAAAATCTTCAGGAAAATAATTCTGGGAATATAATGAATTCGGATTGGGAGATGAATATGATTACAGATTGCCACCATAATTTTGAATATGATTATAGATTGCCAACCCTACCTTTGTATATGATTATAGATTGCCAACCCTACCTTTGAATGCGATTACAGATTGCCACCCTACCTTTGAATATGATTATAGATTGCCAACCCTATCTTTGAATATTATTACAGATTACTACTCTACATTTGAATATGACTACAGATTGCCACCCTACCTCTGCCAACACTTGAAGTGTGTTCGCAGCGATGGAAATTGTAGCCATATAGTTTGCTTTTAGTATAGGTTTGAGGAAAGTCTCGTTGAGAACAATTCAATCATAAGATTCCTCACCTAATAGTTTTCAAAAGTGGCTGGTTTGACAGGAAGGAGAGGATGTTAGAAACGAAAAAATTTAACAAGCGGTCTCAATTTATCTTTATCCTTCAGAATCACACGAGTAAAGAAAATCACAGCGTGTGCTGAGTACAGAATATACGATTTGCAAATTAAGTTTAAATAATTCTTAGTAGTTGCACGATTGATGCTATCCAGGACAAAGGCTCTTTTAAATGGATAAATTGTTTGTTTGTAGTTAAGTTCAAAGCCACACAATGGGCCAACATGTGCTGAGCCCAAAACAGGTATCGAAACTTGTTTTTTTTTGCGTTATAAGCCATCAGACTTATCTATGAGCAATTGGGAGAGAGGGCTGAAAGAGATGAATAGTTTGAAGAGTAATAGTAATAAATCGGAGAATGTTTTCTATGGTTGAAAGTTAAGAGAAGGAATTCCTCCAGCTATATATTTTATTACTTTTTTAAACATCATTGTTACGTAACAATGACATGGTATGTTGACCTGAACACACTAGATAAAACATATTTTACCCGAATTCTAAGCCTTTTTTATCATATCATTTTAAACATTTTTAACAAGTACTTATAAGTTCACAAACTGCATTTTTATGAAGCTTTTACAGCAAGATGATGCAAATGATATTTACCACTTTGATTTCTTTTGTTATTTATCAACGAGTGTTCAATGTCATAAAAAACAGCGATATAGTTACGAGGTTTATTTCACAACATTTTCCATCATTGTTAACTTTAGTAAGTGCAGAAATATCAGTTGATTATGTGATTATGATTGCCCTACATGCGAGGTTAAACTACTTCTCGTTCTGTTTTGTTTGTTCTCCAACTTCATTATGTTTTCAAGAAAATAGATCGTAAAATATATATAAATAAAGTATAGTGTTCTGCTTTAATACGCTTGTTAATGAATGTTCGCTAAACAACAATGAAATTGTTTTAATGAACGTTATTATTGATGTGAAATGATGTATGCAAAAATTAAAAAATGATTTTCTCATATCTTTCTTTTATAGTGATGTAACAAAATATATCAGGTTATTGTTATAACAAATAAATATTGTAATAGCTAAAGGTGAGCCATTTAAACGTTTAATGCAGTTTTCACTAATAAATGTGAATGTCATTAAACGTTTTTAGATGAACCCTTGTTCATTATAAATGTTTTTTTTGTTTTTGTTTTTGGAATTTCGCGCAAAGCTACACGAGGGCTATCTG